GGTGTGTAGCTGTGCAAGGTCATTCGTCATTTTGCGGATAAGGAGATAAATCAGTTGCCCTCGAAAGGATCAGCAGGTAGGATAGAAGAACAAGAATCCCACGCCATAATACAGATGACCCTGTGCCAAATCTCAAGAAGATAATGGCTAGCGTTAAGCTTAAAACATGGGACTAGGTACTCCTGGAATTTAGCGCAATGCCGCCTGTATTACGAAGGTCCTCATTCTCGTGTCTCACCAAGCGTGAGCACGTGAACTCATAGTAACGTCACCAAAGAGGACGAGGAAATCACTAGTGTGCGTCTATCTTCGTCTATACTATCGGACAACAAGTGCAGATAACCGTCAACATTGAATAGCTGTAGCAGATTTTAACAGACCTGAATCTGCTGCTGCTCTTTGATTATGTCTCTAATGACGAATCCGCGACGGATCTCGAAAGGTTAGGCGAATAAAAGTTTTGTCCCAGCGATCGATTCGTCTTCTTCTCAAATGAATGGCTGTGCCTACGTTACATAGGCCGCGCACTGCAATAGAACGTGTTCAACCTATCTATGGTCTAGGAGTTTTGTTTCCGAGACACTGGACGTGGGATCCACCTAGGCTCCAGGTCGTGCACGCACCCCGCGGCAATGTAGGTGGAAGAAGGGAGGGGAAACGGCTGTTGAAGGGAGCAGAGTAGAGCAGCGCATGACCCCGGTGGCCGGTGGAGTTTAACGGGCACATGAACATTGCCGACAAAGACAGCGAAGGCTGGAAGGGCCAGTTCTGGCTTATTAGCCGTCCTCACGCAGCCATACCCAATCTAAGTGGTGCACCCCTCGAGGACCGAATCCACGGTATGTTGATTAGAAGGCCAGAGCTTTAACTAGTGAGCCAGGGACTCGTTGTTTTGCCGGTTTAGATCGAGAATATTGACATTGGCGGATGAAGGCACATCAATCGGTCACGGAACTCACTTTCTTCGTTCTTTTAGTTCGCGCAAACAGTTACATATCAGCTAAATTAT